AGGAAAGTCAGCTAGGTCCTCTTATTTTCCAAGAATGAGGAGCCAGGAAAACCCACACAGACACAATATCTCATCCCTTCCTTCTGCTCTATAGTTCTCATTCCTTGTCTACCCTAAAATCCTCTGATGTTGTGTCCTTGGCTCTAGGCTCAAATGGCAGTTGGAATGTTAGAGCTGACTATAGTTGGGTGTTTCCATTTTCCCTGGTCAGTTAAGCCATGATAAAACCCCAGCAGGTTAGGCTCCTGTTAACTGGTTTCTCCTCTGGTGTGTTTCAAAATTGTTCCTTTCCCCTCCCCTCTGGATGCACACGGGGATTTTTCTCTGTTACTGGCTGTGAGCGCCAGGTGTAGCCCCTGGAGTCGAATCCCACTAGGGGATTTTGTTTTTTCTCCTTATGTACTGTGAGAACCTGGTCGAGTTCATGGAAGAAAAACTGACAGGTGTGTGTGTGTGTGTGTGTGTGTGTGTGTGTGCGCGCGCGCGGGGGGGGGGGGGGGGGGGTGGAAGCCNNGGGGGGGGGGGGGGGGGGGGGGGAGGGTGTTACTCTCTGACTGAGTGCCCTTGGAGTTTTTAACTCTCAGAGTTGTTCACATTGAGCAGGCTGCCAGTGAGAGTGCAAGTTATCCTACCCCGGCACTGGTTCCCACTAAGGTGTCTTCATGTGAGTCTGCTCCAGTGAGTTATGACTCCCTATAAATGCCTCTCTGCCTCTCCAATCTTGGGGGCAAAATTGTGTCCTGTGTTCACCTCTCTTAAGGAGAGTTAAAAAAATCCCCCCCCCAGTTTCTTCAGCTTTTTACTTGTAGTTAGGACAGAGTGGCGACTTCCAAGCTCCTTACATGAGGAACCCAGTACAGTCAATTTTCAGCTGAACTCCTCCAGTTAATTCGACAGCTCTGAATTGCCCCCAGGCTAAAGAGAATGAATTTGTGTTGTTGCTATTTTTCTGTAGTTCTTGTTGTGGTTTTGTTGTTGCTGTTGAGTCTATGGCATACACAAATTGTACAGAATTAAAGGAAGATGCCTATAGGTGTGTGTAGGAGGAACAATCTTTCCTTCATCCTCAAGGGTCTTTCGGCTGGTCTAATAATCAAATAGACATGAGACAGATTGGCAAGAGAAAATAACCAAATTTAATACATACATGTGCACGAGAACCCTGCATACATGAAAGAGCCAGAGACTCCATATGCAGGAGAAGTTCCGACATAGAAAGGGAACATGGATACATAAGACATTGTGAGCTAGGGATGAGGTAAAGGGCCTTGGGGCCTTCAAAGGGCCACTGTAGAGTGATGGGAAGAAGAGATGTTTAGTAAATAGAAGTTTGTCCTACAGACAGGTCAAAAGATAATCTCCCATTATGGGCAAGGCCTCTAATTCAAGTTCTTTCAGGTAGTCAAGGGAGGGGCAGAAGTTTCTCCTGAGCCCACAGCTAAAGGTCCCCCTCAGCTCAAAATAATCCCGATGCCACAGAAGCACATCTTGGGGTGACTAGCTCTGAACCCCCACAGGTGTAACCCTTTTAATTGCATGAAAATTCACCTAAGAATTTTCATCCAGATATGAGACTCTGGCAGACCCTGATGAATCATCTTTTTAAAAAACTAAAATTTAAAAAAATCACAGGAATCTAATTTAAAAGAATGGAAATAGACATTACAGTTTATCAGAGTGCTGTAAAACTTTTTTCTCCAAACTGTGTTGTTTCCAACTAACCTTGGTTTCTAGGTTTAAAGGTTATGAAGTAAGATCATAAAATGGAGGGCCAAATAGTCAAGGGACTATTTTAAAATCATTATTTTCCTTGGTGACTTTCGCTAGATCATGCTGTTTAGTGCTAAAGTTTGGAGAAGTTTCAGGGATAGCTAAGAAGTAATCTAAAGAATCAGCACATGCCAACGTCTGAACTTCTTTGAGCTCACTCAGTGAATCAGGGATGGGCTCAGAGAGGAATGGTTTTGTATTTCACACTAGGAGACCCTAGTCTGTAGGAAGAACCCTGGGGGAATCCTTATTTCCCTGTCTCATTCCCGAAAATTTCTCTCAGGAAACCGACTGTGAGAGCCAAATAAAATGGGAGTCTTACTGAAATGCCTGCGCTCACATTTCCAAATCCAAGGAGAGTGCTGCTCTACCTGGCTAGGTCCGCATTTTCTGCTTGCTGGGATTAGAGCCTTGTAATAGCGGTGAGACTGGCTGGTGAATTTGCCACAATTAATTAATTTCCATTCACTCAACAAACATTGGCTTAGTGCCTACTTGTGTGCCTGATATGGTGCTAAGTGCCCAAAAAAGGACTCTTTTCTTTTTTTCCCCTTGGCTCCTGGCTCAGCAGGAGGCACTGCTTAAATATTCAGAGTGCTTGGGGGATGAGCTAATGTCAGTCCCTCCCCATCTGGAGAGGCTGACCTTTAAAGTAGTTTGAAATGGCTGCAGGCTACCCTAGCACCTTCTGGGGGGGGGCAGACCCTGATTCTCATGCCCCACACCACCAGCCCATGGTTTGTAACCACCAAAGATTTCAGAGTAGGGAATAAATGGTGGCTTTGAAAGTTGAAGGCACACCTGGCCGCTAGGGGTAGAGTTCTGCGTCTGCTAAGTTACATGGCCATGAAATCAGCTTCTAGAGTAGTTGTTGCTTAACCATTTGCAGTCATCATTGCACTAGTAAAAGTTATGGCTCTTTCCTCAGGAAAATGCCATCCACGGACACACATGCCTACAAATGATTTCAGAAGTTTCACATGTTAGAAATCTCATGTTGGAAGTGGAAGTATCTCCGCGGAAGTATTTAGCACCTGAGAGCAAGACTCACCAACAACAGCCTCAAGTGGCAGTGCCCAATTTCCACATCACCCAGTATCCACTATGCCTGCCGCCTTTGCCACTTCGGCTCTGCAGCTCTGCCCGGACAGCGGAGCCCAGGATCCACCATTCTGAGCTCTGCCTGTTCCGCGCTTCGCTCGGATTCCCCGCCTCTGTACCTGACGCACACCTGCGTTCTACCGAACCGTTCTTCCTTCCACTCCCGGTTCCCTCCCCGCCCAGCCAGTGTACCTTCGGAGAGCGAGTTGCACACACCCAGTTCCCATCTCCAGGCTTTTATTCACTTGGGGCAGTGCCGCTCCACGAGTTAGGAACGAGGAAAGTTGCAGAAGGGAATCGTGGAAGTTATGTGTCCCCAAGCAAGGAGGCCACCAACATGGAAGGGGAAGCGATGTGGTGCGAGGCAGGTGTGTCCTAGGAAATCCTGAGGCTCCTGGGGACTGAGGACTGGGGTGAGGACCTGTGGCTCCGGTCAGTTACGGCACACCTATGGCTAGTTTCTCTCTATTTGGGAGAACCATCAAGCTGGAGTCCTTGCCTGCCCCCGTCCCCTTCCCGTTCCCGGGTACTTCTGTTGTGCTCGCCGCACTGGGAGCCTCTATACAACCTGCAGCGGATCGCGCGCTCGGACTGGAAGATCCTGGGGACAGTGAGAAGCTGCTTTCTCCTCACTCTATCCGCTGAAGGCAGCAAGTCAGGACCTGGGACCTTCCAGACGGGCTTGGAGCAGAAAGCTCGGGCTGAGGAGTGCTGAAACGGGTTGTGCAGGGTGTGAGAGGGTCGAGGTGCCGGATAACTAAGTGTTATGGTGCACGCGTATTCTTGAGAGTGAGGGCAGGTGTGGTGTGAACAGGTCACCGTCATGCTGGTATGTAGATATAGACAGACAAGACTGGGAGGCAGGCTTGGGGCATGGTTGAGAGTGAAACAGGGCATATGACCCTGCGCACCAGCGTTGGTTTCCGAATGCCTGTACTTTGGGGAGTGGGGATATATTTGGAGACAGTAATAAGTTTGTATGTGTGGAAGACTATGACTGGGAGTGACTGTGAGCAATAGTCTCTGCAGGGACTCTTCAGCTCCGTCAAGCCTGCCCTGCTCTCTATTGGAGAACTGAAGTGCGGGGGATGCGGGTGCAGGTCCGGAAACGCACGCCACTGGGGCATCTTGGCAAACAGCAGCCGGAAGCAGGGGCAGCTGGGCAAATGGCTCCAGCAGGCAGATGGGCGGGAAGTGATGAATAGTGGGGTAGGAAGGGGGGAGGGCTAGGGGCTGCTTGCAGGCTGGAGGAGCATCTGTGTCTTGCCCCTTCCCGCTGTGGCTCAGCAGGTCATTTGTCCCCTTCTGTCCACTCGAGGGACCACCCAGTGTGAGTCCAGGCAGCCACGCAAGGTGGGGAGTCCTATAATGTGGATCACGGTCTTAAGGAAGCCCCTAAGTGGGCTAGAAAGCTCTTCCAGATTCTAACCTAGCTGAAGGCCAAATTACTAATCACAACATTCCTTCAAGATGGAAATATGGTCCCCATTTTAAAGACGACTACACCGAAGCACTGAGAAGTTACTTGCTCATAATCCTACAGTATGGAATTGGCATAGCCAGAATTGAGATCAGTTTGACAAAGTTCTTGCTCCCACCTCTATCTCTTGCTTCCCACAACGAACCCGGCTGCTCTGTGCATGATTCCAGCTGCCTGAAGCAGATGCTCTACTTGGGCCCCAAGTCAATACTGCTTACACATTAACCCTCCAAGCCTCACTTGTACAGGGGTCTAGGGTCAGACTTGGGGGAACCAGGGGTCCCTGCAATCCTAGACGCTGCCCTGTAAGACCCCACAGCTGGGGATGGAGTGGAGCACACGTTCAAAACCGGATGAAACTGAACAGGTGAAATTTACTATGACGTCAAATTGTCCTCAAAATCCCGCTCACTTCATGGGTGTTCCTCTTGGGCCCCATCACTCCCCCTCCCCCTTCCATCAATGACCTCAATGCAAATACAAGTGGGATGATCCTGCTGGATGCTACAGGTTTTAGACGCAAGTGGGTGACACAATCTGTCTGAGTAAAGGGATCTTCTCATTGGTTGCCCGGAGCTTCTGGACCACCCCAGACCCAGAGCAGCGGGAATAAGAGGAGCTGCTGCTGGTGCTGGAAGGCATCAGAGGCACTTCCACAGTGCTGTCGACTGACGCCAACGCTGACTCCGCTGCCGCGGTCTCCATTCCAAGCCACCTGCTACCTGCTGCCAGGTGAGTCCCGAGACTCCTGCTTAGCTGCGTGATTCTATTTATCTTTCTCTCTCCTCCCCTCCTTCTCTCCCCACCACTCTATCTCTTGGTCGATTCCCTGACAGTCTGAGTCTCTGTCCATCTCTGTCTGGGTCTTTTCATCACACTTCATCCCAGACTCCTACCCCAGGTAAAGCTGGACAGTCTAAGGTCGGAGACTCCGCTCTTCCCGCGCAGAGCCGGGCTCCTCTCGGTGCCCCTTACTGCGTGCGTGCTTAGACCGATCTCCGGTGCTTGGAGTTCCCTGGGTACCGCGCGCAGAGCAGGACGCAGGAGGAACTTTCTGCAGACCGCGCGCTCACGGAGTAGGGCTCGTGCCTCGTGGTCCTTGGGAAATTGGTTCGGAACCTGCCCCAGCACAAGCGGGTGGCAAATAGGTGCTAAGATTTGGGCAGGCAGCCGTTAAACGCAAGCTCCCGTGGTGGGTCCTGGGAGCTTTCCTTTCAGTTGAAGTCCTCGGTCCCAAGTTAACACTCTGCTAAGCTTGGTTCTTACAGGGCACTTTTCGCCGAAGTGCGGAGCGGCTGAGCAGTAGAATTTGGTCTTCAGTTTCTCAGCGATTCCAGCCGCAGAGGTATCTCCTCTCTACCTACATTCTCCGACATACACCTGTAGGTGTGAGCAAAAGGGTCACACAGGGAGTACAGCTCTGGGTTGTGTTATGGGAGCAGCTGTGGTGACAGGGCATTCGGTGACTGTCCTCAAGGGAGACGTGGACAACAGGTGTATGAGAGAGTCGGTGAGGTGGGTTGGCAGGGAGAGGGGCTGTGGACTGAGACCTCATCACCCAGGTGTCCTGCTAGAATCGCTCCTCCACTTTTGCTAAACCATGCATACCGCAGGCTCACTGGATCTTCCAGCATTCCACTTTGCTGACATGGAAAAAAACAAACAATCAAACAGTGAGGGGAAATGAAGCGAGGAGCCTGAAGCCACGGAGCCAGGGAGTTACCTGCAGAAGGCAGACCAGAGTCCAGGTCTGTGGGCTCCTAGAGCTCTAAACTGGTGTAGGTGGTGACATGATTCTTCCCTTGCAGAGACATCATGGGCTTCTGGAAGCTCTCCCCCTTCTTGGCTCTTGGCTTCTTGCTCATGTACCAGGTGGGCATCTTCCAGGCAGCTCCAATCAGGTAAGACAGCCCTGCCGGGAGCACACAGCGCTCCTGAGATTGAACAATCTATGCTCTGAATAGTGGTGTGCTGAAAGTTTAATACTGGCTGGGTGGGTGGGAGGGTAGTAAACAGGCAGACGGGGAATGCACATTTTTTCTCTTATAAGGATGTGTAGCATTTAATTGACAACAGTAATGAGATATAATATTCTTTATTGCAAATTTCATATTGCTCATGGGTTCACAGAACGCTTTTGCTTTTTACCAAACTTATCTCTTTAGCCAGTCTCTTTACCTAATTCAACCATGATCTCAGAAATGAATTGCATTTTAACCTGCTAGTGTTCTGCCAATAAATTGTAGTTATTAAATCTGACATGTGATCTGTTAATCTTTCTTACACTTGTACAAATTGTATGTATTAAACTGAAACGCTTTTTTGTTAGCACTACTTGTAAATATTATCATTTAATCTTCAATATTGGCTGCATTTAAACATAGGCGCACACATTTTCTGAAACTTGAATCTTTCACAAGCTGCATGATCTGATCCAGCAGACCACTGCTTCCACGTCACACCAGAGCCTGACTCCCGATGAAGCACTGTTTTTGGAAAGACACTGGCCTCGTGCTCTGTCCACTGGGGGTTGTGGTGACCGCATCCTCAGGGGAAGTGGCAGAAACTAGGACACCTGGCTGCTTGTTCTGGGCAGTGGGTGGGCAGCAGCTCAGAGCCTCTATTGGTTTTGCTTCCCCTCCCCAGGCCTGCCGAGGAGAACCATGAATACCATATGTCACTCAGCGATGAGGAATCAGACCTCCTGCTGGCTGAGCTGGTTAACAGCTACATGAAGAGTGTGGCCATTGAGCAGGAGAAGGGGACTGAGGATGCTGGGTGAGTCTCCGCACCTGCACAGCACAGGGCATTCCCCCCCTCCAGTCATGTCCAGGCAGGCATATCCTGAGAGGTGGGAGAGAACACACCTGGATAGGTGGCCAGCAGGCTGTCACTGTTCACCCCATCCTGGGGCCCAGCTGTTCTCAGGATGCACTGAAGACAGAGGTTAGGTGGAGAGGCTATGGTTAGACCACATGTAAAAACACCCATTTCTGAAAGCTGTTGGGGAAGGTGTGGAAGCACTCACTCAGGAAGTTGGTCTGGCAGTGCTGAGAAGCCCTCCCAGCATTGGAGGAGTTAGGACTGGTAAGCGTGAAGCCAGATGGTGGATCCTTTTTAGTGCAGGAGATTTTAGAAACTTGACTCCACCTTGTTAACCTGCACATGGCATTCTTTCACACCTTCAGGAAGCCTTCACTGCACATTTGCAAGGTGAAGCCAAAGGCCTTGCAGAGGGTGGGCTCAGGTAGAACAGTGCCTGAGGTAGGTCTGGGCCTTTAGATGTGTAGGACCTGTGGAGATGTGCATGTTGCCACAAGGCTGGGGAGAGCGCCCTTCTGTAGTCCCACCTCCTGTGCACCCCAAGCTTGGAGCACACACCAGCCCCTGCTGTGGCCCTGGCACTGCCTAGGCAGAGGCACGGGTCATACCTGCATCTGCCCTGACAACCTCTCTTCTGGGCATCAAGGACTGAGCAGCATGACAAAGGCTGGGAAAGGTCACCCTTCCCCACCGCAGCCCTTCCCCACACTGCCCTGACTGAGCATGTCTCTGGGCTCAACTAATGGAGGATGCCTGAGCCACCCTCCTGCCTGCCCCTCCGCCTCGACTCTAAGTGACTCCTCAATAGTCTAACCTTCTGTGTGACAACCACAGGGGCAAAGCCAGTTCATGATATCACCTGGCATGTTTTTTCCCTGCAGCCTGGACAACTCCAGAGCTAAGCGGTGCAGTAATCTGAGTACCTGTATGCTGAGCTCATATACACAGGACCTCAACAAGTTTCACACATTCCCTCAGACTGCAATTGGGGCCGGAGCGCCTGGCAAGAGAAGGGTCATGGCCAGTGGCTTGGAGAGAGACAACGACCCTCATGTTGGCATGCCCAAGGATGCCTACTAAACACCTCCCTCTACTTCCTAATTTCCTTTCTTGCTTTCTTCCTATAGCTTGCTGTATATAGTCCTCTCTTGTTGTTTTTGGGGCTGGTATCAGTGGCTTTCTCTGTGGCAGTAGATATGTGGAACCTCAGATGGAAGGAGAGAGAGGAAGACCTACAGCTCAAAGAGAATCACCCAGGAAGAGATGAGAGAGGGAGAGGGTGGCCCTCTGAGTGCCTGAGGATTTCAGGACAGAGCTTCATATCTTGTTTCTGAATGTGCTTGTCATTGGAGAATAAAGGTGTATTTCTAAAAGCACTGAGCTGTGGTGGTTATTGCTCTGGTCCATGTCCCAGGCTTTATGGATTCAGGGATCTGTGCTTCTTAGAAGCAGCCTTAGCTCCAGGATAGCAGGACACAGGGTGTGATGGGTGGTCCCTGTGACCAACCTCAAGTAGCAAGAACAGGTGCTAAGGGGCCGGTAAGTACCTCTAGGAATCAATGCTGTAAACTCTCTGCCTCCTGCAGGTGAGTCTGGGAAATTTTTGTATTCCTAAGAAGGGATGTTTGGTGCCTTTCAGTGGGATGTGGCATCTTGACAATCCTTGTGATGGGGTTGGATATGGAGTCATAAATCTCTCTTGTATCATAAACATTGGTTAGTTATTAGTTTATTTAAAATAAATAAACTAAATAATTGGCTGTTATGGCTCTGTGTCCCATTGACAGTCACCAAGAGCACCCTTTGGGATTTTTGACACCCCTGGAAATGTCTATGGTGAATGATCATGGCATTTTCCCTAATGGCCTATGGTTTTCTGCTGTGCTAATTTTCTTTAGTAGAGAAAAACTTAAGGTTCTCTGGTGCCTTTCAGAACAACAATTTTACCATGGTGGTCCCATGGGGCCAGCTCTGCCCCACCAGCCTCTCACTGACAGGACTTCTTTTTTTTCTCTACCCTGTAAATCAGCTTCACTGTCCTGAAGAGAGCCTGCAACACTGCCACCTGCTTGACCCATAAGCTGGCTGGCTTGCTGAGCCAAACTGGAAGTGTGGCAAATACAAACCTGTTGCCCCCTGATATGGTTGCCAAACGCCCTGGCCGGAAAGCCAGGGACCTTGATGCTTGAGCAGCTAGCTCCAGGAAGAAGGTGACTGCCCTTGTACTGTTGGATGGGAGGATGGATGACTGGGCGTTGCAGGGGTGCAGTCCACACGCTAACCCCCCCCCATGCCCATATGGGTACAACATCCACAGGAGAAGGTGCTCAACCCAGTGTTTTGTGAAGGACAGAGAGTCACAATAGCCGAAACCCATAGATTTGGGGTTCATTTCTCTCTATTTTCCAGTATCTTCCTATAACACTGAGATCATCTGCTAGGAAATATAGATGCTGTTTATTTAAAACACCGGTCCCTGCAGTTATAATTGTGATTATTCTAGCATTTGAGTTTGAAAGGTAATGAAACTATCCACTTGGACTATACACTGCAATGTTGTGTACATCTGAATTCAGAGCATACACTTGGGGTCAAGGATTGCGTTTGCCCTCTACTGCTGATATGGCCATGGCTGGACTCTGTCTCTGCGCCTCCGCTCTCCTATCTGTAAATCGAGGGCAGCAATAGTGTCTACCTGCTAGTATTAGTATAAAGAGTAAATGAGACAATAGATGCCAATCGCCTCACAGTTAACAAGTAACTGAATTCTGGCTTTTGTTTCTCCTAGATCACCATGAAGCTGAACTCCACTCCTTTTCATTCATAGTAAAAGCACCTTGTAGGAAAGCATGGAAGACACACACATATGCATGCTTCTTCATACTGAAATCCTTCTTTCATGTTTAAAATAAATTAAAGCTGCATGATAATAAAGCTTTATTGCAATGACCTAGTGTGCGTCTTTTTTATATTTTTTTCTATACTCAATAAATATGACAGCATGCCTCACCGGCTTATCTGGCAGCAAACCAGGGGCCCCATCAGCCAACCTGTTGATGTTGGCAATTTTGCTAAACCTTAGGAAGACATAAAATTGCTGCCTCCTGGATAACGGGGGGACACAAGTTAATGCTGTGCCTCAACGGACTCTTCCTTTAAAGAAATCTTATCATTGGTGAATTTCATCAAGATAAAAAACATATTAATTCACTACACTTGAAAGGAGCCCCTGCTGCTATTCATACTGTTTTCCCCTGAGAGCCTCAGGGTCCTGTGAACACTTTGTTGACCAGGCTGACTCAAATGAGGCAAAGGCAACGTGCTGGGGGTGGGTCCTCAGTGTCCTGGATCCCCAGTTTCTCCTGACACATCCCTATTGGAATTAGAACCCTGTGCATCTCAGATACATTTTCAGAGAGTGTCCTGGTCCCCAGCTTTAAAGACTTTCTCTCCACTTCTCCTTAACTCAGATGTGCCCTTACCCATCCCTGCCTTTCCTCCCCATAAGCACCCTCCGTACACCCGTAGTCTGCAAAGCCTTTTAGAAACAATGGTAGAGTTTGAAATGGGATCACAGACTGGCAGACCTAGAAAGGTCATCAGATGCCATCCAATGCAACTTTTTAATCCTCTGACATGCAGAGAAGAAAAGTACATTACTCTTTTAGCCTGGGTTCCAAAATGAGAAGTGTGGACCTGACCCTGATCTGCAGCCTGGGTCCACATGCAACCAGCACCAGCTGACATCATCCTCATTCCTACCAAACACCCAGGAGCAAGAAAAATAATTTTTTCTTTTTTTTGAGATTTTTGAAGTTGTTTTTTTGTAACATTGTTGTGGTAATGGCTGAATGGCATGTATGATTTGGGAGTGTTATAGAGTGAATGAGTCTCCCCCAAATTCATATATTGAAGCTTTAACCCCCAATGTGACTATGTTCAGGGATAGGACCCTTAGGCAGGTAATTAAACTTAATGAGGTTGTAAGGGAGGGGCCGTAATCTGACAAGACCGGTGTTCTTAAAAAAAGAGGAAGAGATGCCAGAGACCTCTCTGTCTCTCGCCATGCACACGCAGAGAAGAGGCCAGGTGAGAACACAGTGAATAGACAGCCTTTTGTAAGACAAGAAAAGACTGCCTCACACCAATACGGATGGGACTTTCATCTTGTACTTCCAGCATCCGGAACAGAGAGAAAATAAATTTCTGTTGTTTAAACCGTCAGCCTGTGGTATTCTGTTATGGTTGTCAGAGCAGACTAACATAGGGGGCATTAGTTGATGGAATTGTTTTTGCTACTACAGCTTGTTTTTTCTCTTATTCAGATTTTGGGTTCAAATCAATTTGCTCAATGGCCAACTTATCAGATTAACTTTTTTTTTTGATGAATCCATTTACATTTTGTTTCCTTAATATCTTCTTAAGGAATGTTTATTTTGTTTCAGTTCTAGTCTCCTACTGCTGAACCTGAATAACATACCTTAAACAAATTAATTGTGTTTTATGTCTGGAATGGATATGTACAATATATTGCAAAACAGTGAATATAAACATACAAGTGTATCAACCTGGATAAATCTCAGATCTAATTTTCACTGCAAAATAAAGCAAGTTGCAGAGTTTATATAACAGATGATGCCATTTGCATTAAATTAAAAACATATATAATATTACTGTATATAATTTAGGGGTACATACATATGTAGCGAAAATATACAGTCATGTGTAAGGAGAATAAAAAGTGATTAACTTTGAGGGTGTGGGAAGGAGGTCTCATGAAGAGGGTTCTACAGGCAGCATCTACCAAGGTTTTGTTTCCTTAGGTATCATTTTCTAAGCATTGTGGTTGGTAATATATGGTAATTAAATATAAATATAATTCATGTTTAGTAGGAATGAATGTTGTGTGTGGGTATTTTATGTTAAGCCAACTACCATAAAATTAAGAAAGAATGTATACATTTTAAATACCAAAGAGAATCTGCTCTGTTCTATAGAAAATAAGAATAAAAGACCCCCAAAATGCACAATTTGATAAAAGATGGCAGTAGTAAATACTCATATAGCTTTAAAATCATTGTGAATTAGTTAAAGTCACCACTGACAAGACTAAGAGTATCAGGGTGCATTAAAAAAAATCCAGTAATGTTTTTTCTACAAGAGAAAACTTTAGAACAAAAGGATTCAGAATTGATTAAAATAAAATGAATGGTAGAAAATATATAAGACAAATGTGAAGACAAGTAAGTAGAGGTAACTTCATAATATATGATCAAAATAGAATTCACCCCCCCCCCCAAAATAAAACCTATTGGAAAAGGAAAGGTGTCATATAGTGGGAAAAGGAACAGAATGGCAAAAAGATATATTTATCATAGACACTTGAACCCAAAACATCATCTCAAATATTAAAACAGAACCTGACAGAGCTACAGGGAGAAATATGTATATCAAGAATTCTTGTTATAGAATTAATGTGCACTTCTTTTTTAAAGATTTTTACTGGGGAATTGGGGGAAGGGGAACAGACACGTTGCTGTTGTTTTGTTCTTCAGTTTAGTTGTGGAAGACGTTGCTTCACTGGCCCAAGTTGGCACCATAATTGCGCTCTTCCCGGGTGAGGCAGAACAGTCGCCAGCTTCTGGACGGCCACTCACTGCAGCTGCTGGCCGCTCACGGGGGCTGCTGGCTACACACGGTAGCCCATGGCAACCCACTGCAGCAGGGGCTGCAGCCTACGCCGTCGCTGGCGACTCATGGCAGCGCAGTTCCAGGGTGAGCTGTTGTTCAGCATCTTAGCTGTAGAGGGCAGTGTCACTGGCTCCGAACCAGGGCCCTCTGGTGTCCCAAGCCAGCTCTTAACCAATGCGCCACTCAGCCGGCCCTATTCTCTTTTTCTTAATTATTTGTATTTAATCACTTCTTCCCTATCTCCACTGATAACATCCTGATCCAAGTCTTGATCATGTTTTGCCTGGACTATTACAACCTCCCAGTTGATCTCCCTATTTCTACCCTTTTCACTATGTAGACAATTCTGGAGTGATCCTTTTAACACACAAGTCATACAGTGTCTATCCACTGCTCAAAACCTTCCACAGTCTCTCCATTCACTCAGAATAAAAGTTAAAGGCCTTCTGAAATTGTACCATTTGCAATGATATGGATGGACCTAGAGAACATTATGTTAAGTGAAATAAGTCAGTCAGAGAAAGACAAATATCATATGATCTCACTTATATGTGGAATCTAAAGAACTGAATAAATGAGTAATGTAAATAGAAATAGTCTCAGAGACACAGAGGAAAAACAGAGTGTTGCTAGTTGGGAGAGGGTGGGGATGAGGGAGAAGGGGAAGGGACGAGACAACATAAATTGGTTACAATATATTGCCACAGGGATAGAAAAGACAGTTTGGGAAATATAATCAATAATGTTGTAAATATTTTTTAGGGGGCCAGATGGACTCATGTCTTGTTAGGGAGACCACTTCAAGGACAGTGTAGAGGCCTGACCACTGCACTGTAATCTGAAGCTGCTGTTGAATAATATTATATGTCAACTATAATTTAATACATATATAGTCATGGGATGTGGAGTATAGTGTGGGAGTGGAGTCAATAGAATTATAATAGATATGCATGATATCGGGGGTGGGGAGGCCGTGAATGGGGGGAGGGGGTTATCACTTTGTGAGGGGTGAAAAGGATAACTATTGCATTGCTTTGAACACCTGAAAATAATAATAATAATAATAATAATAATAATAATAATAATAAAATTTATGAAAGAAAAAAGAAAGTTAAAGGCCTTCTGATAGCGTAAGAAGTACTACATGATCTGACCCCATATCATTCCTCTGGTCTTCCTTCCTGCCAATTACCCCATTGCTTGTTCCACTCCCAGTTTCCTCAGGGTCTTTACATGTACTTTTTTGTTTGTTTGTTTGTTTTAAGATTTTACTGGGGAATTGGGGGAGGGAACAGCGTTGGGGATTTGGGGAAGGGGAACTGACAAGTTGCTGTCCTTTTGTTCTTTAGTCTAGTTGTGGAGAATGTCGCTTCACTGGCCCATGTTGGTATTATCATTGCGCTCTTCCTGGGTGAGGCAGTCACTCGCCGGCCATTGAATGGCCTCTCACAGCGGCTCATGGCAGCTCATGGCAGCTCACGCCCGCTGCCGGCCAGCCCCACTGCAGCCTACATTGTCGCCAGCAACTCATGGCAGCCCAGCTCCAGGTCGAGCTGTTGTTCACCATCTTAGCTGTAGAGGGTGCAGCGTCACTGGCCCTCATGTGGGATTCAAACCAGGGCACTGTTGCTCAGAGCTGGCATCCCAAGCCAACTCCTAACCAATGCGCCACTCGGCTGGAGCCCCCCCCCCCTTTATTTATTTTTTTTTCCTAGAATGCTGTTTCCTCAATATCTGTGACTGTCTTCCTCCTTCCCTTGAGAACTCTGCTGAAATATCACCTCCTCAGAGAAGGCTTCCCTTCTCTGATCACTCTCTATTTACCCTATTCAGCTTTATTTTTATTCATAGAGTTTATCATTATCTGAAATATTATATATTATATATTTATGATTTTTGTTTCTGAGTTCATCTTTAACCATATAACATGTTATGAGATGTAAAGATATTAGCTTCTTATTAAATGTCTTTAAATTTCAGATGTACAAAACAACATAATGATTAGACATGTACACCCCTCAAAAAGTGATAACCCCACCAAGTTTACTACGCATCTGACATTGTACATATCTATGAAAGATCTCATTTTTAAAAAATATTTATAATTTTTGTTTTGATTTCCACTTTGACTCAAAAGTTATATAGAAGAGTATTTTTAAATTTAAAATACTTTTAAAATTATACTTCAGTTCCAGGCTTTTGCACTGAGGTTTGATATAATGTTTACTTAGGAAAATTTTAAAGATTTTTCTGTTAGGT